AGCAATTTGGGGTCGTGTATATTCAAGCTGATTTGATACTGTTTTCTCTTCAACGTGACGATGGGGTTCGGGGTGGATGAGAAAGTGCTGTGGACTAGGAGTCAGAAAGCGTTGCAGTCTGGCCCAGGTGGTGTTAGGATGTTGAGGTGTCATCTCCATCTCGTGTCCCTCAGCTGTAAAGTGGGGAAGGAAGGTCCTTGCTCCTCACCTGGCTCTGTGCCAGTGAAGACCAGTTGAAGTGCTGGACTCAGTCACCTGCAGACACTTGCTCACACCCACTATCAACCCATTACGTCCAGCACCACAGTAAGTGCTCAGAAATGGGTAACATTTGGGTACCACCCTTATAAAATCATCCTAGGGACCGTTGTGCTTAGATGGAAAGAGGGGTTATGATTACACTTGTTCATTTGTGTCTGTTTCTTGGTTATCAAATAAATTTTAAAAAATGAAAGTCACTACAAAAGTTGTGAGACAGACTGTGTTGTAGTCTATTACTTCACTTCCAGGAAATACAGTCAACAGTGTCCTTTCTGATTCACCCCTGCAAGTTTCAACTTGCTTGACTTCTTTGGTGTTGCTGGAAGGACATCATTTGTTTTCATCCATGTGGTATTCAGTAGGCATCAACTATAGAGCTGGAAGGAGAGCACTTTGGCTCAATGATTTTCTATGACTTTAAAAGTGAGTTAAGTGAGTCTCAAAGACTTGAGCATTTGTAGTGGGTTTTCAGGGACCTTACTTTTTCCCACACAATGAGTTTTGGTGGTTTCAAGAATTTAGAAGAGGCCGAACTTCACTGAAAGACAAGGAGAGGAGTGGGGACCTGATGGCTGCGGGGACTGAGGTGAACATTGCCTTTGTGGAAAAAATGGCTCGTGGAAACAACTGATTTAAGGACACTAAAGTGGCCCTACAGATTGGATAGCCAGCAGTGTTCAAAATCCTGCATGATTATCTTCAAGTCAGGAAAGTTCCAGTGTGTTGGTGTTGAAAGGTGTGGAGAAGTACTGGCCAAATCCAGCAGAGCTGTCCAGTCGCACTTCTGACCTCACTACTGCTGATGACGCCTGCATCTGACAGTTTGATCCCAGTCAACAAGGAGGACCTTTCCTGATGAAAATCTACTAACAAAAGTGAAGCACCCCCAACGCGTCAGAAAGAAAATGATGGTAGCTTTTTTCTCCAAAATCTTGTCATGTCACAACTATTCCTCTGGAGAAACAAAAGGCCATCACTGCTCAGTGGTACACGACAGTCTGCCTACCGAAAGTTTCCAGGTGGCAGCGCGTCTACCCACACAGCCAACATCACCGTTCAGTTCCTGGAGTCCACAGAGGTTAAACTTAGGACTCGCCCACACTACAGTCCTGACCTGTCCCCATATGATTATTTTCTGTTTCCTACAGTAAAAATTGCATGGTGGAAGAAAGTGCTCCAGCCTTGAAGAAGTTGTTTCCTCCTGTGAACGTGCATCTACAGCAGTTAAAGAGAATGAGTGGAAAGAATATATTCAAAAATGGTTTATAAGAACGCTAAAGTACATAGAAAGTTGTGGCAATTGTTTTGAGAAATATAGTAATCAAAATGATTTCATGTCTCTTAATTTTTGTGTATCTCAAAACTTGCATAGTATCCCTCATAAAATTAAAATAACTTCTTAAATGCAAGGTTGTTAGAAGTCCTCTGGTTACCACAAATGCTGAAGAGATACCGCTAAGATGGGAGCTTAGGTCCCCAGGAGAGCTTCTGCTTGTCCAGAGTGGGATAGGACTCGTCTGGGTCCAGCAACCCACGAGCATTTTCTCTCTGACTTGAAGCTGTAGATTTACTGGAAGACTTCAAGGTCGCTGTCAAAGTAAGTTATCTTATTCCCTCTTTCTACAAAAAATAAGAACTTTCTAAATGGGTGGAAAAGGCAAAAGGAAGTAAAATTGGTAATTAAATCATGACAAACTCAAAGTACAATTAAATTGTTGGAAGTCAAATAATAGTTATTACTCAACTGTAAAATGATTGTCATTCATAGAGTAACAAAGACACTATTCAGAAAAAGAGTCTCTGACTTTAAAATCCCTGAAGCTATTTTTAAACACAGTGCATAGCAGAATAGAAGTTACATGTTTGAATAAATCTCCTGATGATATGAAAATCTTGCTCTTGATAGAATTAACTATTAACTTTTACTGCTAGTGTTTTTATTGACTTAATTTATTAATAATGTGAAAATGATTTATTTGTATTTCTCCTACACCAGCCATTATTTTACTCTCTAACTAGCAATGCATAATGTGACTCTATTCTGTACTTACACTAACGTAATACAGGTCTGCTGTTTATATCGTCTATCTGATCCTGCTCTAGCCTGTGTTTTTTCAAATGATGAATATAACATAGAAACTATTATGATGATAAAGTGCCAACTGTGATCACAAGTAAGGGACGTTAGCTTAAGATGGGCAATTTAACTCTTGTGTTTGTCCTGCTCCGTTTCACCCTCACATGTTGTAAAATGATGTCTGTTCCTGCTGTTTGTTAGGGGATGTACTGAGAGCAAGATTTCAAGCCCCCGGGCAGGAAAGGCACTGGGCTCTTTTCCAGCCAGTCAGTGAAGAGATCTGGGCAATATGGCAATTGTGGTGTCAATACCTAGCAGGTCACACAAAACAACCACAGGCTTTACAAACTGTGGTAGAATGAAGACTGAGAACCGTGGGCAAGCAGCTCTTCCAAGTCTTAGAATGCCTCAGACCCTGAAACTGCAGAGCTAAAGTTTTATTTTGAGGTCAAAACCAAAGCAGATGGTAACCACACACTGCAGTCATTCGTTCTTCCAGAGATCCGTGATGATTGGATTTTCTACCCTGAGGCACAGGCGCTAGGCAAACAGACATGATGACTAAGCAGTCCCCACTCTCAGGGAGTCCACAGCCTGGTGGCAGAGACAGACAGACATAGAAACAACAGGGGCCGTGCACTGTCCACTTCATGCTCCAAGTGCTGGTGACATGCAGGCAGGCAGACAGAGCCTGTGGCAGCAGTGAGTAATTCTGTCCTCCTGCAGCAGTGCTAAGGAGCAGTTTACCTCAGGACAGAGAGCTGGACATGTCAGAAGGAACAAACGGCCAAGACGTGGAAGCAGCCCAAGTGCCCATAGCCCGTGCATGGATTACCACACTGTATCCAATGGAGTACTATTCAGCCATAAGGAAAGATGGACACTTTACATCTTTTGTGTTTACCTGGATGGAGCTGAAACACATTCTTCTTAGTAAAGTATCACAAGAATGGAGAAGGACATATTCAATGTATTCAATACTAATATGAAACCAATATATAAACAACTCTATGCCCACACAAAAGAAAAAACAATAATTATATTCTAGTGGGGGAAGGAGGGCAGACACGTGTCAAGGCCTCGCCTAAGGTGCACGATCTGAGGGCGCACAGCTCAGCCCCTGGATGCAGGGCTCAACTACAACCTCAGCGGTGCCTTAGAAATGAAAACAACGTAACCTAAATATGTGGCCCTCATATCAATCTGAAACTTAAAAAAAAACTTATTAATCAAAAAGTAAACCATAAATATGTACACATATATGCATTTTTTAAAAAAGAAGGAATAAATATATTTTGTTAAGCCACAGACGAATTACAAAATATTGTAAGTGGTAGATGTGGCCAGGATGGGCTGGAGATGGGGAGTAAGGACAATTGCTGTCCTGAAGAGAAAACTTGGAAGGCCACCTGGGCGTGTCTGAGCGCATCCCCAGTGCCACACACTCCAGCCCTAACACATTCCAGAGTGGTGCGTTCATCCTTCTCTTCCTCCTGCCCTTCTCCTCTTGTTGCCCAGTGAGTTCCTCTGAAATGTTAAAGCAACTGTGGCAAAGACACAAAATCAGCCCTACTGGCCCCTGCTTGCTCCCGCCCTTTCCTCACAGCCTCGTCATGTGGCTGACTACACAAAGGTGAAATGTGACATCAAGTGAAGTACAATGACAGTCCCAGATATCTTCTTTTACCTGTCCACTGATAAAGGACATTTTCATGATAGCTCAAACAGAAAAGAATCTAATAGCCTCAAGATTAAAGACCCCCCATGTAATAATGCCAAATCTTTAAAGAAATGGGCACCTAAGCTCCATTAAAAATAAAGAGAAAACTCTGGCAGAGTGTATTACAGTAGTTTAGCATTGGAAACTACTTGGAAAGCCACCTGGGCATGTCTGAGCATGTCATAAGGTCTTAGCTTACCTACTTTCACAGTTTTAACCAAAAATAACCTTCTGAATTTCAGTTAGCAATCAGAGCAAAGATATCTTTACATCTCTTATGAGAATATTTTTAAAAGTAATATAATTAAGACAATGAGAGAATGTTAGTTTTTCCTGTATTGAATATTTAGGCAGGATAGGAATAACCAAGTGACCATTTTTACTGTATTGTGCAGATAACTTGTGGGTTCACTCTTCAGCCTCCATTGCTGTGTTCATGAGATATGAACTAAAGGAAAACAGAGTTTAGACAAAGCTAAATGAAATATTTGAGTCGTAAAGTAGCCTAATGATCCCTTGTCACATTCCAGTGGACAGTCTTTCCTTCTTGATTCTGTTCTACAAAATTTTTTTCTTTTTGAGACAGAGTCTCACTATGTTGCCCTCCGTAGAGTGCTGTGGCATCACAGCTCACACAACCTCAAACTCTTGGGCTTAAGTGATTCCTTTGCCTCAGCCTCCCTAGTAGCTGGGACTACAGACGTCTGCCATCTGCCACAATGCCCAGCTATTTTTTGTCACTGTTGCAGTTGTCATTGTTTAGCTGGCCCAGGCCGGGTTCAAACCTGCTACCCTCAGTGTATATGGCTGGTGCCTGCACCACTGGGCTACGGGCACCAACCCAATTGTTCTACATTTTTTAAAGAACATCCTCCATTGTTAAGATCCCTCTGTTTACTGCACAAAATTGTGATTCTTGGTGTCATTTACTCTTCCTTCTAGAGCTTCTTTGAAGGACAGTCTGCACCCTGGGACTCGGCTAAGAAAGATGAGAACAGAATGAAGAACAGATATGGGAATATCATCGCATGTAAGTGTCAACAGTGTCATTGCAGAACTTTCTTTGCACATCTGATAAGATTGACCACAGACTCACACAGTGAGAATTTACAGTGCAATTGCTGCCTTCATCCTGGTGGGAGAGCCAATTTAACGCTTGTACTAAAGAAAGAAAAAACTATCTGAACACTCACACTCCGCCATTAGCCTTTTCTTACATTCAGACCTCGGGTTCGGGTAACATAGGTAACGTTAAAATGCTGGGAAGGAAAATGCATTTTAGATGAAGCAAACTTAATAGTCCTGCTGCCCCCCCAGCTGCTGCAGGAGGATAAATGGAAGCGATGGTGCACAGCACGCCTCAGTGCAAGGAGCTCAGCGCTCTGCAAACACTGACTCATCAATCCTCTGGACACTGGGTTAGGCAGGTCAGTAACAGCCCCATTTTAAGGACAGGAAACTGAAACTCAGAAGTTAAATGATGGTCCCCATATCACAACTCTCATTAGCAAAAGAGCTAGGATTATAGCTCAGAAATTCCCAGTGCCCGTGAAACTGAATGTTACCAATCCATAATGCCTTGGATGGCTTTTACATCCAGCCCAGCCTCATTAATGTTCCATAACAATGCTGCAGCTCAGGGTAGATTGATGGGCCCCTTCTCCCAGGGCTCGCTGCACTCATCGCCCGCACTAAACTGCTCTAAGCCACGCATGGCTGCACCGAGGTACCAACAGGCCCACTGCGTAGCCCAACAGAATTAATGCTATTTATAAAGATATGTAAATTTAAAAGCAACGTGGGTTAGGCCTAGACAACAGCTAGCTTATTGTGTCTTTTTACTTAGAAGAGAACAAGCTTGGAAGGTTTGGATAGTCCAAGGCAGCCAGATAGGAGCTTTACTGATTGTGAAAGTGCTGTTACATTTTATTTACCTGAGCTAATATCTTTTAGTATGACTGCAAATCTGTCGCAGTGCTGCCCCCACAGAATTTTCTTTGGTCATAGGTGTGTTCTGCATCGGTGCTGTCCTGTGAAATAGCCACCAGTCACATGAGCCTGCTGTACGTGGAATGTGGCTGGTATAACTGGGGAACTGAATTTTCAATTTCATTCAATTCTAATTGTTTTCGATTTAAATAGTACACAAGGCTAAATACTATATTGGACAATACAAATTACAGTGTATTCTGCTAAAAAAAAAAAAAAAGAAGAAAAGAAAGGTGGGGGGATGGAGTTAACATATGATATAAAATATCCCAACTGACATGTTCTGTTTTCGTATTGGCCACCAAAAAAGCCAGACCATCAGTTTTGCCTGCTTCCTGTGTTGAGCTGCTTGGTGTTAAAGCATGCTGTGTTTATTTAAGGCGTGAGTGTCCTTTGTAGATAGAGATGCTGCCCCGTGGTCAAGGGTGGGTTCCCCTTTGGTGAATTCAGCCAATACTTGTGGGACTGTGTAGTGGACACTGAGGATACAAAGGTCACGGAGATGAAATGTTGTCCCCCAGGACGGAGCAGATCAGACAGACAGCAGATGGTTGTGGCTATAGTGGGGCACAAAGCACAGGACTGTGTGGGAGCCACGTACACAGTACTATGGAGGCTCAGAGAAGGAGAACGTGATTTCTTGGTCTGTATAGGTGCCTCTAAGCGCCCTAATGTTCCCTGGGAGCCCATGAAAGCCTTGCGCTATTAGAAGAATCCAGATTTCTCCTAATGGCTTTCACGATCCTTTCCACGAGTCCTTTCAGCTCTACAACAAACTTACAGAGGGAAAATGGGGAATTCCCATGACATTCCACATGAAGGGGATGTCTACGAGCGTTTGTCTTGTGGTCACTGTCATGTAACAGCTGAGCACACAGATGGGGCAGCGTCCCAGGGTGTGGCCTGAGGTGTGCTCCAAGATCCAAATGCCTTTGTCCAATATAACTTGGAGTCTGCTTCTTCCTGATGCATAGTTTAATATGCTCTTGGTAGACACTAGAGACATATTTTTTGGATAATTAGTTAAAACTATAAGAAACTCTAGCAGTTGCTGAGCACTTACATATAATGTTTTAGACGCCTGTCTAATCACTTTCCAAGTACGAACTTGGTAACTCCCTATCACAACACAAAATGGATCATATTATTGTATTTAAACTACAGATGAGGAAATTGAGGTATAAAGAGAGCAAAGGGGTTGCACAGTTAGCAGATGTGGAGGCAGGATTCCAACCCTGGAGTGCTTTGTATAACCACTACTTCCACTGGCCAGCATCAGGGACAAGAGGCAGGAAGGTGTTGTTAGCCCCCTGACTGATACCCATTCTCGATCTCCCCAGGGCTCCCCCCCAAAATATACACAACTTAAGTAAAAGCCACATATTCAAAGGTAGCTTCTAGGTAAGTCCTCTCGCCTTAGCTGGTCCCACGACCCCCATAGAGAAATTCTGGAGCAGCCACTGTTAGGATTAGTCTTCTGCAGAAGTTCTGTTTTGATGGCTTCTTGGCCATTGCCTAAAAATGATGGGAGGACAAGCCTAATTGATGTCTAATTGTTAGCATATTATCCTTAATTGTTTCCTTGCTCAGGATGAGCACAGAGAGGAACAGGGGACCTGCCGGTACCCTGCCTTGTCCAGGAAGATGGATAGCTGGGCGGCAAAGTTGGAAATAGGCTGGGCAGATGACAAACTTACATCATCTTTTTTATGAAGACATTTAAAAACCGAAAATTCTATACAAATATAAAATATTTTGATGTTACTAAGCACTGCCCTCATTTTCGAGTTAATGCATAGAGGGATGAAGCGGCTTGCTTGTTAAGTAGGTCGTGGTCCCTTCTGTGATATTGAAAAAAACGGTTCTCTAGTTACTTAGAAAAGTTCGTTTTGAGGGACACTGGTAGAGGCCCAGGCCCTCCGGGCAGACGATGGCCCTGTAACTTTTACAGGCTCCCCGCAGGTCCAAGTGGGTTTTCTCCTTTAACTTTCTTACTCAGGTTTTGGAGATCCTGCTACCTCGTCTCTGCTCAGCCCTGCTGGGGCCCCGGTGTGCAGCTTGTCATGGGGGTCGAGTCCCACTCCTTTACCTGGACAAAGGGTGTGTGACTTAAATAAACCAGTAACCCGTCCCATCATTCAGCAAATTATTTTTAACGTTTATTTCGGATTACTACAAGGACACACGTGATGAGGTTACATTGTTTGCATTGGTGAGGTGAAGTCTGAGCTGTAGTTGAGCCCTTTACCCAGAAGGTGTGACATCCGCCCTTTGCCCCTCCATTGTGCCTGTTACCTCCCCTCTTCCCCCCTTCATGGATTTAATTGTGTTTTTCTCTCATGTGGCCTAAAGTTAGTAATCTAATAGTTTCAACTTAGTATAGACTGCATGGGAGGCTTGATTTTCCATTCTTGTAATGTTCTCCAAGTCCTTCTGGGTAAATACAAAAGATCCAAGATCTCCGTCATTTTATGGCTGAATAGTATTCCATGGTACACATATACCACATAACACATTCATGGGTTGAATATTTATTGACCACTTACTCTCTGCCAGACTATGCTCTAAAAAGATGATTAAACATAAATGGATCCTGCCCTCCTAGTGATTGCTGTCTAGTTCTGGCTTTTGCAAACTTTTTCTGTAATGGGCTCAACAGTAGATCTTTTACAGGCCAGCCAGTCTCAGTTCAGCTTCTCAGCCCAGCTGTTTTTATGCAAAAGCAGCCAAGGATAATACAGGAAGAAATGGGCCTGACTGTGTTCCAGTAAAGCTTTATTCCAGAGCCAGGCAATGGGCTGGAAGTGGCCCCAAAGGCTGTAGTTTGCTGATTCCAGGTTTGGGGGAGAACAGCTCCCACCAGGGGAACCTTTTCATCTCAGCCCCTGAGGGTACATTTCTGCCACCACTGAGATCATCTTCAACTCTCAGGACCCTTTTCTTAGGGCTGATTTTTTTCATCACCCCACCTAAAGGTACTGAATGTGGCCTGTGCACCTGGGACAATGTGTCAGAGGCAGAACAGGTTCAGGCCTACCTTCTACCCTCATAAATGTACAATCTGCAGGCCACACCAGGCTAAGACTTGCATAAAATGACAGATCTCAGGTCCACAAGTAAGTGGAAAATGTATATTGGAGACACCACTGGGGACGTGTAGGAGATAGGTGAGTGGGGGAGGGATGCACTGATCAGGAAAGATGTTTGGGGCAAAAGAGGACATAGGTGTGGGAGTTAGGAGAAATGGTATGGAGTCCTTGTCCCACCATGCACTAGCCCCAGTGACCTTCAGTAGCCATGAACCTTCTCAGTATTATAATTTCCTGAGAATATTACCTGTTGTGGAAATGAACTAAAATAATACATAAAAACAACATTGATTGACAAAAATCATGTCTTCTCTTTCTTAGTCCTCTTCTTGAGTTTAGCAGACTCCATGCATCATTTAACACATTAACTGCCACACGAGCCGTATTTAACCTACACTAGTTTTGAGCCTGGGTCCTCATGAAGTATATGTAACTCATACATCTCTGAGCATTGATTAATGCACTAAAAAAAAGTTTTGTTTTTTTCCTTGGGGCCATGGCATTTTATTACGTCAAGAGACATGAGTTACATATGCTTCATCAGCCCCTGGGCCCAAAACTAGCATGAGTTAAATACAACTCATATGGCAGTTAATGTGCTTAACATAAAAAAATACCATGGCACCAAGGGGGGAAAAATTGTTTCTAGGGCAGCAATGTGTTAAAATGAAAAAAAAAAAAGAATCAGCATTTTAAGGTCTCAGGTTCAAAATGATGACCTGGTAGATAATTGCAGTAGCCAGCTGGCACCCTCACAGTCAGCACTGCTGTGCACAGTGACCCCGCTAGGTATGGGCAGTGTGCCAGGCTGCCCTCTACCCACCCCTTCCTGGAGCGGGTGCTCTTTCCATGTTTCTTTATTGTATTGTGTTGTTTTGTGTGTCTTTCTAAGGACAATGTCATAAAGAGACTTGGCCACACAGTAAGCCTTCCTCCTCCCTTCCTGGGCCAT